CATCGGAGTATAAGGAAAATGCTCTGAAGAGGGATGCCCAAGGATGCCACTTAACAGTTCTGGTATTTTTGAGGTCCCAACCCTCTATTCATGGGAATAGTTAACCATTGTAAAGGTTCTCATGGTTAACTGACAGAATTGATTGTATCTTCAACTAAGAAGTCAATAAAATGTTAAAACCAGAAGAAAACCACACCAACTCCCTTCTATTTACCAGGGGTAGGGCATTATGAAGTCATATTAAAATTACAAAATAGTACTTCATCACTATAATAGATGTATTACAATATCAAACATAGCTTGGGAATGTTGTTAGAATACTACTTTGAGCTGTTAAAGTTATCATATTTTGCTTGAAGCTACAAATATAAAATAAACAAGAAAAAATGACAATAATTGCATATTTTTTCTAATTAATTGTATTTTTCCGATACCAACAAAGATATCAACCTATAACTTTAGGATAGTATTCATCTCTGTACTAACAATGTATGTTGTAGAACTCAGAACAATAGTTTATATATCCTTCGAGTTATGAACTAATATTATAGTACCCCCTAAGATAATTTCCTAGGGGGGTAAAAACGCTAAAATGCAGTGTCGTGACCACCCCGTTGAGCTGTCATCTTTTAATATCTTTATCAGCATGAAAAACTGATCCAGAAAAAATAGGTCTGTTGCTTTTTCTAAAAAATGCCTCAAAAAGTCTTTCCCTTGAGATATCCTGAAATTGGAACCTGTCTAGTATAATTTGTATATACTCATAACTTAATTGATAGCAAAAATCGCAATCTCTAATTGAATGACAGAGCCATTCGTCATATAAAAGTGTAACTCATTACATCCCTATACTAGATCATTAGTGAACTCAATTGAATGTTTCACCTGCGTGAACCATACTATTTTTATTGTTGATTCGATAACCTGATTTAGCATACTATTGCTTATTTATTTATTAAACCCAGGAGTTCACCAACCTTTACAGTATTTGACCTTAGCATGTATGGTGCTTCACTTAATTACTTCTTAACGCCTGCAAAATCATCAGATGCAAATACGCCTTCCAAGTGGTGTTAATATGACAATTGATTTCGTCATATTTTATATCCCCCCTCAATCTTTGAACGATGCTACGTCCCCTCGACCTTTCAATGGCAGTACGCCCTACAAAAATAAAGCGTACGTAAACATCTCGTAACTTCATATTTATAAGTGCTGTCGGACAGACGGACGGACGGACATACAGCCAAGTGGATAATTGCAGTAATTCATCGCATGAGCTAAAATAATGAATTTACTTACAATCTAGCATCTGTGATATAGACATGAGTATATTAAGCTGTTTTAATTCAGTTTAGTTATGTATATATTCATACAGTTTGCATACTGGAATGAGATGGGGGACATGATTAGCATGCCATATACGGGACTCAAGTTGTCATTTGAATTTCCCTTAGTAGATAAAATACTTTATTGTATCACTGTCATGCTTTCGACATCGAGAAGTGGCATAAAACAAATCCAAATAAGAAACTATAGATTCCAAATAATACTTAACTTAATTAATGTGTATTAGCCTATATACTAGAAAGCATTTCAACTAAGGGGAACAAACTTACTATACCATTGTGTCATTTATTTAGATTACACACTTTACCATTGCTTGATATATTTCACGATTAACATAACTTGTACAATTAAGCATGTGTTTCTTTAGAAAGCAAAATTACATTTGATAATATCAGTGGTAGCTTCAGGGAATAGAACACTAACATGAAGCCTAATTATCCTTTCCCTTGAAGTTCATTTTGTCATCCTAAAAATACCATACATGTTTTGACATGAGAGTAAGATATTCTATGGATTGAAGTGCTTTAGATAACAGTTAGAGATATTGGGGATTTTCCCTTATGATTGGTTATCCATTTCTGTTTTTTGCATACAGTGTATTTTTTAGATATTGGGGATTTTTCCTTATGACTGGTTATCCATTTCTGTTCCTTTTGCATACAGTATATTTTGAGATATTGGGGATTTTTCCTATAATATGACTGGTTATCCATTTCTGTTTCTTTTGCATACAGTATATTTTGAGATATTGGGGATTTTTCCTATAATATGACTTGTTATCCATTTCTGTTTCTTTTGCATACAGTATATTTTGAGATATTGGGGATTTTTCCTATAATATGACTGGTTATCCATTTCTGTTTCTTTTGCATACAGTATATTTTGAGATAATGGGGATTTTTCCTATAATATGACTGATTATCCATTTCTGTTTCTTTTGCATACAGTATATTTTGAGATATTGGGGATTTTTCCTATAATATGACTGGTTATCCATTTCTGTTTCTTTTGCATACAGTATATTTTGCATTGAGATAATGGGAATTTTTCCTATAATATGACTGATTATCCATTTTTGTTTCTTTTTCATGCAGTATATTTTGAGATATTGGGGATTTTTCCTTATGACTGGTTATCCATTTCTGTTTCTTTTGCATACAGTATATTTTGGGATAATGGGTATTTTTCCTATAATATGACTGGTTATCCATTTCTGTTTCTTTTGCATACAGAATATTTTGAGATAATGGGGATTTTTCCTATAATATGACTGGTTATCCATTTCTGTTTCTTTTGCATACAATATATTTGAAATATTGGGGATTTTTCCTTATGACTGTTTATCCCTTTTTGTTTCTTATACATACAGTATATTTTAGGGAGAAATCGGTCTTATTCCTATTTAGATAAACCCTACTTTGTTACAATTATAATCGTAGCTTATAATAAGGTGTCAAAAAAGAAGAATCTTATATACACTGTTCCATAGCTGGATGACTCTACTGCAGTTAGCTTCATTCAAGATGGTTGCCCAGATTCTTTCGTTTTCGATAAACCTCCGATTTCAGCTAAATTAAGTTGAATCTTGATTCCAAAAGTTTCGTCATGCAAATTAATAAAACTAAGATTGTATTCAACCACAAATGAATGCCCCAAACACCCGCAATATTAGAGAATTTTAAAGAAAATGGCTTCACTTAGAATGACTCTAACTGAAGTTGATGATCTACGTCATCATTACGTCATCATCAACTTAAGTGAAACAATTTTCTTTAATATCGCGGCTGTTTGAGTATTTATTTGTGGTTATTTACCATCGTAGCTTTATTAATTTGCGTGGCGAAACATTTGGAATTCAGATTCAACTAAGTTTAGCTGAAACGGAGGTTTATCGAAAATGACAGAATTTCGGCAACCATCTTGAATGAAACTAAGCCTTCCTTATACACACAGCTAAGTTGACCCCCTCGTACGGTTCCTGACTAGTGAAAGCGGAGCCTCATGTCTCACCTATGTCTGTATAGCATGCTGAATTATGAAGGGGAAACGGAACATTTTCTTGACTCTCATCGTCGCCTTAACTTGTGCTGCTTTGTGGACGGGAGGTTAGGCTTTTTTTATTTGCATATCTTTTATAGCAAAATGAACATACTAGCAAGGCCAAGCTGAAAGTTATCCATTCAATTTGAACGTTTGACAATTGCAAGAACAGACAAGTGCCCACATACATCTTCTTCGGTCTTAGGCATGCTTGGAAATTACGTGGCGGCCATTGCGAATTTTTGGGGTAAATCGGTAGTTTTGAAATTCCCATAAATCTTGTCGCCTACAGATTCAAGAGCTGACTCGTACCAACATTTGAATAGTTTCAGGGCATGATGGGTATACAACATGGAGGCAATTATGAATTGATCGATAGATCTTCAAAATCAAAATTCAAGAATTGCCGAGCCACATGAAATTTTTACATGTTCAAGAGCAGACTGGTGCCAATATCTGATTAGGTAAATGAGCCTGATTGGTGAATAGCTTTGCCGCCATTTTGATTTTTCCGATAAATCTTACCATCAACATTCTACGATAATCGCTTGTCGGATTTGATTTTTGCACAGCTTTAAAATGGTGTTAAAGTCTACAGCTACAACAACATCAGGGTCAATATAAACTGGGTGCGATATTTATCATTTTGTATCTTGTTCATCTTATCGCTGTCCATGGAAGTTATATTTTATTCATTAACACCATCATAATACATAAGGGTTATGTCCCGGGCAGTTTTGGACACCGGTTTTATCCCGAGGGAAATAAGTGTATATCTCGAGGGATCGCAGGGACGGGAGATATACTTATATTTCCCAATGGATAACACTGGATGCAAAACCGACCCTACATAACATATGTATTCTATACCTACTGAGGTTTTTGGAATAATTCCATCTTGTATATGAAAGATTCCAAAATTTAAAAATGGATTGATGTATATAACGGGATAGATACAGAAAATATCCACCTGCACTCTTGATACACTCCATATTCCCGCACGTTATGGACCTAGAACCTCACTAGGCATAGAATACGACGATGCACAACATATATTCGTGTCCATCCATTAACTTTGAAAAGTGGAATGGCAATCATGGACTTCATCTCATCGTACATTCGCAATGGCAATATTTCTACCAGGACGTTAAGACCATACAGACAGCCATAACAACTGGTTTGCAGGTATGTGCGCATATGCACGACAACTACTGATATATCATACAATCCAAATTAATTTCACTGAGTTTGCAGCCCGGGGTTTGCAGCTAACACTTGTGACTTGTTTAATGCAATAACTTACCAGTCCCCCGGGCTCATTTCTTTTACTAATATCATTTTCAGGAAAATGAAAATAAAAAGTATGAAATCGAGACCAAGAGTTGATCTACGTCGATAGGTAGTTAAGATGTAGAAATACACGCATCGATTTGCCATAACGAATGGACATCTTTAGAAAGTACAAGTAAACCATACCATTATACAAACTCATAAAAATAATTTCTCTTCATCCGACACAAGGATAACTGTAGCTGAATCGTGTTTACGTAATGAATCCTACCAATCGAGTCGTAATGAACACATGAGCGTATCCTGTCCTTTTGTTCTAGCTGGAAACTCGAGCCGGGGATTTGGTTCTTAATTATACGGCGTAGCTTCGTCGAATAATAGCCGTCATATCGCTTCCGTGAGGTATAAAGGCAAGAACCTGAAGAAGCAAAGCGGATGATTACCGAGATGCGATTGTGGATCAAATCAGTTGCCAGTATCGCCACAAGCTTCCAGTTGGACGCTGCTGCAAGATAGAAGCTGGACGCGACGTAGCCTCTGATGACTATTTCTAATGAATTACAAACAATAGGAAGGAAATCCTGGAAAATCTTAAGGATATTCACCACATAGTCGTTAAACAAATGTGATAAGGTAATAATAACATTGTTTATTTAACTATACATCAAGTATCATCAAGTATATTTTATTTTTAATTTATCATATTAAAAATTATACCGTTGTAACCGTTGGTGGCATTGAAAAAGGTTGATATATTGAAATATATTATAACCTACTCACTGACATTTACTGACATTATGCTTTTCATTATAAGTTCATTAATTGACGTTTATGTATATTTTAACAGCTATTGTTTTAAGGTATTCCTTCTTATCGCCTTATCAGGGATGACATTTATTGGTAATAGCGTCAGATGGAATTATCAGTTAAAGTGTTTGTATGCCAAAACTTAAATTATTTTTATGGTTTGAAAACACATCTAATATCCGATGACACTCATCTGCACTAATTCCGCGAAATATGTCATCAAGAATGTATTGATTGATTGATTAGAATAAGTAAAATAGCAGTAAACGTACAATGATATATATTGAGTCTGTATCGTATATCAAGAAAAACTGACGAACGTTGAGTCGTCATCTTTTCTGCACTATATTATATATTGTCCATTTATGGGAAATACGTATTGAACAGCGTATTATATTAAATTGTATTACATACCTAGCGAAGCATTTGTATAGAAGTCAATGGGAAAGTTAGCGAGCTATATCCACCGATATTGCCCGATTACCCCGATATAGTCCGCTTACCTCGTTTTGATATTAGATTTCTTTAATAACCATGATAATATCATGACGTCACGTCATTGATACAAAGTAACCATGGGAACAAAGGCATGTAATACATCAGTTATGTCACTATGACGTGAAATATGCCTTCGTTCTTGCCCAAATATAGAGCCTCCCAAGGTCGGCCTATATTGGGAGAACTCAGGCATATTTCACGTCATAGTGACATAACCTCTAAATATATTTATTCAAAGCTACACTTAATCAAATATTGCCATATGGATCCCTTTGCCATCTTTACTCATCCATAATACTTCAATTATTCTCAACGTCCTATTAATGAATATTTTTATATAAAGTGACCATATTTGAAATCATTCTACTTGAGCGATTACTTTTAGATAAGCTATAGCTATTCCTACTTAATGGGATTAACACGTCTCATGAAATTATCTGTCGACAGTAAGTAATTTATCATTTCAATCTCATTCGATGTTATCTAGGAACATAAATATCGTGATTGTCTGGGTCCAATGGAGTTTGATTCATATTAATACAAAGATATTCACTCTTGCATCCATTCCCCTTTTTTCATTCTCAATCACATGATTAGGAAATATATAGCGGGGAATAGGGCCAAAGACTTGATGTAAGACTTCTTCGTTGTGATTAGCGATAATGTTGGAGAATTTACCATCGATACAGATTTCAATGTCTCAGAGGCTCTATTTTATTCCATCTCTTATTGAAAAAACCGCACAATATTCATTTCGCTTTCCCAAAATTGATTTTGCTTCTTTAAATTTAAAAAAAAAGTGTCAGCTCCATCTTCATTTGTTAATGTGAATTCTGACTCAGGTTGCATTTTTTATCAAAAATATGTTAGCTACATAATGTTTTTTTTGTTGAAAATCCTTTCTCATTGTCGTAATTTAGAACGATCACATTACCACGGTTTCTGGGTTTGAATAAAAGTATGTTTTTTTTTTTTTTTTTTTAGTTAGTTAGTTACATACTTTATTGTCAAACTATGATACATAAATTATACATCAACTGACACTTTAACAAGTGTATGAAGTTGTTTTAGTGACAAGAATGAAAATTCAATAATAACTTTACATATTGATAGCATATGTATGTATCTAACTTATGGCTAGTGGTGGTGGGTTGTGGCTGCCAATGTGTGTTAACTCTATTTCGGTTTAGGAAAAATGTATGTATGTGTAAAATAACAGAAACATTTGCAAGAATGATGGATGAAAGGCTTTGAGCTAGCTCTTAATCTCGATTTCTAATTTTTAATCTTGATATTTCTTATGAAATATTAATCTGCGTATGTAAAAGGAAAAATAGAAAATAGCTTGGAACCAGACAATAAAGATTATTAGAAGATAAATGAAGAGTTTGACTTCTTGTAACAGCAACAGCGTCAATATTCTGAAAATATGATCTACATAACAGAGTCAATAGACCCTGTACTTGGTGTTTTTCAACGACTTCATTCTGTTCTATGTCATTTCGTTTTGGTCTCATTGTATCATTGAAAGGAATAGATGATTTTATATGACGTGAATTTTCAGTTATCAATAAATTACTTCTTATCAAAACCAAACTCATGTATTTTTCTAAACTATTATTTAGGACGAGTTCGGGGAGCTACTATGAACAAAAGGATAAACTAAACGAAAGTGACATTGGATTGATATTGCCATAAGTTGCGTATATGGGAATTATGCACGAGCTTTCTATCACATTAACAGGGCTTCATGACAGTGTCACAGTGCCTTCATAACCCGTGAAATATGCTGCTTGCATGCTTTGTTATATTTGTTAATAATTGCATTTTTATTCAAAACATGTCCCGGTTGATATATGTGGGATATCATATGTTTTTTTATTCATAGACTGTCAAGCGGGTAAGATCTATAAATTGCTGACTTTATCGGAAATACTGGTTGCTCTGTGTTTTTCTATAGCATATATGAATCACGGGCGGATCCAGGGGAAGGGGGAGAAAAATATTTTGGTCCCAAAATAGATATTGGCCTAAACATTTTGTAGTGCCTCAATAAGTGGGCTTTTTAGGGACCTCAATTTTTTCCTGGTTTGAAATTTTGGCCACACGCTTGTTAGCTTCTAGATCCGCCAGTGTATATTGTGGATCCTATTCAATAGAAATATCCCATAACTTCCAGTTGCATTGTTTCATAATCTCATATTTAACAACATAGCTTCCATGGAAAGTACTTTTTCTTCTTTTCATTTTGAAAACATATACTGTACTAGGAGTATCGCGTCGATTTAATTATGCCAAATTATGCCAAACAAAGAATCTAAAGTTTCCCGGGATTCCTATTACGTGTATTGATTTGATTGATTGATTGATTGATTCTAATTCTAGACTAATATTTACCCAGTAACCGTATTTGCAAGGCGACTTAATCAATAATGTGATCCATAACCTATCACCGTTTATCATACGACACAGAGGTCTGCTTACATAGAATGTGAGATCTGGAAAATGCGATCCTATGCTAACAATCTTTTCAAGTCATTAGCAACCACGACAGAGTTAAGGCTAAAACAATTAACGGGTTTCTAGTATTAAAAACGCTTTTTACTACTGCTTTATGTGGGGCAGTGGGTGCAAAATCAGTACAAAGGATAACCTTAATTCTAACTAAACCCAACTCTTTGTCGTATATTAGATCATTAACTTACTGTCGAATATGGAACCTTTTCAGTACGACTTAAAATGTTTACAAAATTTAGTAGTAAGATATTTACATGTCAAGAGGAATATAAAAAATATGTTGATAACATCACGGTTTAATTGTTTAAAAGAACATTTCAAAATCATGAAATTTTGCACAATTTCGAAAGACTCGATATTGAAAATAGACATGGTTCTGATATGCTATATGACTGCAAGTATAATTACAGTTGACAAGTTGTGATTTTATAGAAAATGTAAAATGATATTGGTACATGTAGCCGGAATAATAGCAACATTTATATTAAAGATGAATAATACCCGGCTTAAAATAGATCCCCAGGGAACGCCACATCGCATTTTTATCATATGAGTATACTCATAGTCAGAATAGTATATTTTCTGAAAAACTTTTGAACCAAACCAGATTTTTCCCCCTGGTATCCATAAAAGTTAGTTTAGCAAGAAGAATATCATGATCTATCGAATCAAAGGCTTTAAATAAATCCATAAACTTTCAAAACTAATACAAGGGGCGATCCATATATTCTGATAAAAATGCTCTCATTTTGTGACTTTTTCACATATCCCTCTCATTTTTTCAGAAAATGTAGATTATGTAATTACACATACAAGGCTAAAATATTATAGGTATATATTAAATCAATTTTGAAATAAGGTTGCCATGGTAACCTGTATTCGGGGTAGGCAGGTCAGTTAAATTATAATGTATAAAATAGATAAATTTGTTGATTTAATCATTCCTCGGTGCCTATTTTAAGCAGATCAAACACATCTTCCGGTCATTGCCAACTATTTGTTGAACTGTTCCATACCCCTGTTTCCCTTGTTTGCTAATTTCTACAGTGGGATAGTTCTCTCTTCATAAGTTCCATCTCAATTTGTCGTTGCTTTATTCTCTGTCCACAAGCTCTTCTTGCAACCAGATTGTGGATGATCTTCAACAGTTACCACGTCTTCCTCTTTACAATAATACCTATAGATTCTTTAAGCAGATATAACACATTGCCCATACATTTAACAAGTCCATATGTCTCTGACAGTGTCCTCTTACTTATTCTTGATAGTACATAAAATCTAATGGTACTTTTAATGTATCTGTTATTAATGTCACACTCTGCATCAGCCACAATAACCTCTTTAACATTTTGATTTTTGGTGTGTCTCATGACATGTAATGTTAACTAGCCAGTTCTGTCATACAATGCTATTTTGAGTTGTTGTGATGTTATAGTGAGCACAAATGAACTTTTGTTTAGCAACAAACAACGAGCAACAATACCAAACTTTTTTAGAAAAATGTTTGATTTCCGCATGCTTAAAAGTAATTAAAATAACAAGTTATTATGATATTTTATATGTTTTAATTTGATTGACCTGCCTACCCTTAATACAGGTTACCATAGCAACCCTATTTTAAGATTAATTTAAGATATAGCTATGATACTTTAGCATTGTATGTGTAATTACATAATCTACATTTTCTGAAAAAATGAGAGGGATAAGTGAAAAAATCACAAAATGGGAGCATTTTTATCAGAATATATGGATCGCCCCTTGTATGTTCGTTTCCCATTGCATCTTCTAACGTCAAAATAGCTAAGTACGAT